CTTGTTGACAGTGGGAGTGGACTTCTTGCAATGTTACCAAAAAAAGAATTTTCTGAGACTTGCACAGGAGAATGAGGTATTATAGAAAGTTTATTTCTTTGGAATCGAATTCCTGAGTTTCCAGGGTCCCAGCCTAGGAGAAAGTCCAGCTATGCCTTTAGCAGGGCTAGGATTAAAGCTGTTGCCAAGAGTTTCCATTCCATGTTGGAGCACTATCCAATCTTACATCAGGCTAGCTTAGTTTGTGTTCCCAGCTGCAGCCCATTAGTCCTTTGCATGTGGGGTCCACAGGGATACATAGCTATGGAGGGAACACAGGAGAATGCAAGAAAGCCACAAGAGCCAAGAGAGAGAGAATTCCTTTGTCTTTGGATTATGTATCCCCAAATTTTTGTGAGCTCAGAGCCAGCACACCTGGTGGACAACTTCAGACCACATCGAAACACCACCCAACCACCTCCACGGGAACACACTGAAGGGAAAAACTCAGCAGGCACCAGAGTCCCGCTGAAGTAAGTTCTGGTCTGTGGGGCAGGCCTCTGCACAGGTGATCCTCCACAGTGATCAGTGTTCAAAACCAGTCCTTGCAATGGATTGGCCTGGGGATAAATCCCTCCCATTGAGGCACCAACAGCAATCAAAGGCTTAACTATAAGGAGACGGTGCACACAACTCACATGAGGAGGGGCACAACTGGAGCGCTCAGCTAGGGTAATTAGGGAGGCTATGCCACTGGATCATACAGGACACCTATTACATTAGGCCATTCTACCAAACCCAGGAGATGTAGCAGCTCTATCTAATACATAGAAACAAACACAGGGAGGCTGCCAAAATGAGGAGACAAAGAAAATGTCCCAAATGAAAGAACAGAACAAAACTCCAGAAAAGGAACTAAACAAAATGGAGACAAGCAATCTACTAGATTATACTCTGGTTATAAGTATGCTCAGTGAATTTAGGGGAAGAGTAGTTGAACTTAGAGAGAACTTTAACAGCATAAAAGAGGACATGGAAACCATAAAAAAGAACCAGTCAGAAATGAAGGATACACTAACTGAAATAAAGAATAATTTACAGGGAATCAGCAGTAGAGTAGATGAAGCCAAGAATCAAATCAGTTATTTGAATATAAAAAAATACCCAATCAGAACAGCAAAAAGAAAAAGTAACCCAAAAAATGAGGATAGTGTACAGAGCCTCTGGGACAACTTCAAGCATACCAACATTTGCTTCATGGGGATGCCAGATGGAGAAGATAGAGACAAGAAATTGAAAACTATTTTTAAAAATAATGACAGAAAACTTCCTTAACCTGGCAAAGGAAATAGACATACAAGTCCAGGAAGCCCAGAGAGTCCCAAGCAAGGTGAACCCAAAGAGGTCCACACCCAAGACACATCATAATTAAATGCCAAAGGTTAAAGACAAAGAGAGAATCTTAAAAGCAACAAGAGAAAAGGGAGCATCCATACAACTGTCAGCTGATTTCTCAACAGAAACTTTGCAGGCCAGAAGGGATTGGCAAGAAATATTCAAAGCCATGAAAAGCAAGGACCTACAGCCAAGGTTGTTCTACCAGCAAAGCTATCATTTAGAAATGAAGGTCAGATAAAGAGCTTCACAGACAAGGAAAAGCTAAAGGAGTTCATCACCACCAAACCAGTATTACATGAAATGTTAAAGGGTCTTCTTGAAGGAGGAGAAGGAGGAGGAGGAGGGGAAATTAAAAATATGAGCAATAAAATGGTAATACACACATAATTATCAACAAATTAATCTTAAAAAAAAAAAATGAAGAAGCAAAACAAAAGCAGACTCCTAGATACAGAGAACATTTTGATGGTTGCCAGATGGTAGGGGGGTTGGAGCAATGTGTGAAAAAAGTAAAGGGATTAAGAAGTACAAGAGGCAGCTGATCGATGTTTCACTTTCACATCAATGTTTCTCTCCCTCTCTCTTCCTCTCTAAAAATCTATTTTCAAAAATCTTAAAATTATAAAAAATTCTTAAAATAAGAAGTATAAATTGGTTGTTACAGAATAGTCATAGTGATATAAAGTACAGGATAGAGAATACAGTCAATAATATTCTAATAACTATGTATGGTGCCAGATGGGTATTAAATTTATCTGGATGACCGTTTAGTAAGTATATAATGTCTAATCACTGGGGTGTATGCCTGAAACTAGTATAATATTGTTTGTCAACTGTAATTTTTTTAAAAAGAAGGAATAGAAGAAGGAAGGGTTGAGTAATCAATGGTGAGATTATAGTGAGGGATCCAATGAGAGATTTGGCCACATGGAAGCTATAGGTGACCCAAGCCCAGAGCAGATCCAAGAAGGGTTGGTAATGAATGGCCTGTCCTGGTCAGCTTCTGGGCTGTGGGCCCAAATGGTGGTGTGTAAACAGATACCCTTGTGGAACTGGCACAGATATTCCCTTCCTACAAGGGAGATGCCTACTCTGCAGGAAGCTCCCTTCTCCTCCCCAGGCCTAAGTGTCAGTGCTCTGGGAGCTGATTTAATGGCCTTCTACCCTCATTTGCTCTCTTTCCAGCCCATTTGTGAGGTCATAAAGCCAAATCAGAGGTCTTAGAGCCAGGGAAAGAGAAAGTGATAGTCTCTGGTTTCTGGATGCCAATAAATGGTTTACACCAAAGTAGGCTTTTCTGTCATGAAATCAGGAGTATATTTATTTGCAAACTCAAGAAAATGGGGGCTATCCTCTTACATCCTTCTTCTCTTACATCACAAACATATAACCCTGGGAACTTCCATAATGCTGCCTTCTCTTTCACATGCACAGCCACTTTTCAACACCCATTTTCCTATTCTCCTTGATAATGTTTACAACCCCACCCCCTCCTCCCTCCACCTCAACTGGCATCTTTCATGGATCTGACTGGAAAACCCAGACAGTTAGCTTTGTGGATTTTAAACAGAAAAATATCCAGAGTGAAGAATGCCAGAGTAGTGGAATCCTGGACCCACAAACTTGACTTTGGATTCCATCTAGCAAGAACACCTCGATGGCACCACAGCACAGACCACTCAAGGTTCAGAAACTTCCATAGCACTGTGTAAAATCCATGGATGGCTTATGTTGCTTTTAATAATATCTGAAGAAAGCTTTCCTTTCCATGGAGCTTCTGCTAGCATGATTCAATTTCAGAAAATTATTACAGATTAATCATTATATTACATGATCATATTTCAGTTATCCCCTGTGTAGTCTGGGGACACTAAAGCAACTGAGTTCTCTCACTGAGAGAAGTTCATTAAAACCATAATGTGCATAGGATTTTTAAAGTGTGTTGGAAAACAAGGGCATAAATACTGGAAACAAGACTAACAAGCCATGTGGGAAGTGTTATTTCTACCTTCTGATTAGCAAGACGTTTGTGGAAGCTGGAAAAAGCAATTCCAAAAAGAAGAGTAGCCAAAGGAAAGCTGAGTTAATGTTTGCAAATGCAGAGGAAGAATTTTTCTAAGAGAAGGCAGTCCTGAGGCTCAGCTACTCGGTGCAGGAGGAGAGCGACATATGTCTGGGGGGCCGGTGGTCCTTTGACGACATCCCAATGAAGACCCTGCGAATTGTGATGCTGGTTCAGTGTGACAAGATGAGTGAAATCATGAACGAACTGAGGAAACATCTGTCTGTCTAGCCCATTCCCCATGGACAGGGGTGCGCTTGTTTCTGTAAAATTACCAGAAACTCAGTGTTGTTTTACTGAAAAACTCATGACTTTATTTAGATTTAGGTCCTCTACAAAAAGTAGGGTTCTGTTGCCCGTGTCTGTGACACATTTACACAATATCATTTAAAAAACTTTTGGTCAGGTCACGAGTGGTTGATTAAAAACCTTCCCAATAAGACAAACGTGAAGGAGTAATTTAAAGAACTCAATAAAAACTTCTAATTTTTATTTTTTTAAAAACCAAAAACAACCACAAAAAACATATCCTCACATGAGGATTTTCTTTAAAATATATATCTTTATTGATTTTAGAGAGAGGAAAGGAGAGGGAGAGCAAGAGAAACATCAATGATGAGAGAGTCATTGATCGGCTGGCTGCCTTCTGCACGCCCCAACCGGGGATCGAGCCCACAACCCGGGCATGTGCCCTGACTGGGAATCGAACCCTGATTGCCTGGATCCTAGGTCGACGCTCAACCACTGAGCCACTCCCAACTGGGCGAGGATTAAAAAAATAATAAAAATAATAAAAGAATGTAAAAGAATAGAGCTTTATATGCAAAGATATTCATTATTGACAATAATTTAAAAAAACAAAACTACCTATGTATCTGACAGTGGTGAAATAGTGGAGAATGGAAGATTGATCATGAAATGAAAAGGAATGAGAACAAAATGGAATATTATGCAGCCATTAAAAATTGATGCTAATGATGCAGAGTGGAAATGTAAAAAATTGTTTTAAAATGTTAACAGTGTCATCTATACTATGATTCCAACTATATAAAATAAGTGCACATTTAGATAAGAATGAAACAAAAATAGCTGTGTTTCAAGGTGATTGGATTGTGAATGATTCATCTTTATAATCATTTCTTTCCTCGCTGTTATAATGTTGATTGTATAATAAGTAAATAAAACCTGGAGGGAAAAGGAAAATACTCTAGTGAGACATTTTTTACACCAGGCAAAAAAAAAAAATGGTAATGCTTGGGATCATTTCTCATTTTTCCTTGGTCCTTCAAAGCATCCTGCAGTCTTCACCCAGATGTAGGGAATAGCATGTCTGGGTTATAGTCGGGCAGGGGGTGGTGGGGCAGGGAGTAAGGGGGTGCTTGCCAGAAGACTGTGCTGTTTGTTTAATGAACAGAAACTTCTTTTAGTCTTCTTTGGTGACAAATGCATTTGAACTATTTGTTGGTGTGGTTTTTCTGTGATAAATATGCACAAAAAAGTTGCTGAAAAATGATGTCTTTTTTTCTTTTCTCTCTCTCTTCCCCACCTCCCCCTTCTGCAGTTCTGCTAAGCCAATATTCTCTAGAATGAGCACAAGCTAAACAAATCGAATAACAGCTTTTGTACATCAACATCAAGAAGGAAGACACTTGGGAGAGACTGGAGTACAGAGATGGATATGAACAAGAGTGAAACATCCGCTTGTCAAATCTAGATCGGCAGAGATGGGAGTGATTTTCTAAAAGGAAATGTGATTATGGATTAGACACCAGCTCATTGGAAACTATCATTGTATAAGATCAGATAACATTCACAAGAAATTACATTCATAAGAAATTACATTCAGGAAATATTTCAAGAAAGAGGAATATAAACTTGCTAGAATTAACATGTAAAATATATATGTATACTGAAGGTTTGTAAACTGTCCTTTTTAAATCAAACTGAAAACAAAAAGCTTTAATCTTTTAACATTATTTTTAAAAAGGCAGTCAACCCTAAAGTATTTCTATCTCAGTAGCCAAGAGGCTAACCAAACATCATTTGCTGAGGAAGCATCTTAGAAAATGCCTCTGAATATCTTCACAGGAGCCATGACATGGTCTTTGGTTCTCCCATCTCTGCTGTTCATTTATCCCACTGTGTAATTAGTTACAATCACTCAGTTAAGAGCTGTAACACTTCAAAGTTTTTACCAAGTCTGTGTTCAGTTTAATGTCTGTACGAGTTATTATTGAGAAAGTGTTTCTGAAGTATACTATTACTCCATCAAGCTGTATATTACAGGAGGTGCATCTTTACATCATAGGTTCCCAAGCAACATAGATTTCCCTGTCTTTCAGGAAACAGCACCAAGGAACTCTGAAAAATATAAAAAGCTCATTTTCACCTTCGATGCTCACATGTAATATATAGGCTGCTATCAAATAAATACTTTTTCTAATTCTCCCTAATATATGCATAGAATTTAATATACTTTCTAAATAGGCATATGAAATATCTCCTCTTTTATTTCTATTTCTTTGCCACATGTCATGAGAAATGCAGGTCCTTTCTTTCCTTACTGACAGACACTCATTTTTGTTTAGAAAAAAAAAAATCATGCCATTAAACCTATTTCTAAATGATAGTGATACTAAATAAATAAATAATAATTTAATAGCCTTAGAAATAAATGAATATATACTTATAGAGATCAAAGAAACTTGGTAGGAGTAAATTGCCTTTTTGCTTACTAACGTTGATTTCAAAAATACCCAATTACTTTTTTTAGTCAGTTGGCATCTGAAGGTAGTTACAACTGATCAGTTGTCTTCAACAATCTTTTGCTCCCAGGTTTCCCCCCACCACCACCCTCACCATGTAGTCTGCCAATATGCAACAACAGGAAAATATTTAATATTGAAGTAGTCAATTGTTTGAGAATGATCACAGGCTAAAATGTACATGCAAGGATAATCAGTGTAAACCAAACCATACCTGAGCAGAAAACTTGCCTTCATGTTCAGACTCAGAATTAAGATAAAATTAGCATATGTCACTGGAGCAGCCATGGAGGATAATATAAGAAGTGATACAAATCATGATTGATTTCTCTTACCTTTCTATTAGGGCCACACCCCTATTTTTGCCAGGTGTTTCTGGCAATAGCCATCTTTTCACCACAAATGAGATCATGTTTCAAATGGCTAAAAGTATGCTACAAGTATGCTCAAATCTGTGAAACCCAATTCACAAAGATATGGATTTTCTAAAGAACTAAACTTAGGGAATACGTATTGTCTCTAAAGTAGTAATTCTGGGAGTTTTTTGGTTTGTTTTTGTTTTGTTTTGTTTTTGCTTTAAGTATTAGCTCTCCCACTGCATTCAAAACACCCTACTTACTATATTTAATTACACACAACTTTTCAAGAATTCATCTTTTATTTAAAGGGAGGTATCTCTCTACTTTATCTGCAATAAAATAAAAGGCTTTCTCTAATCCATGTAAATTACAGATTCTATTGGAAGCTTTACATCACTAATAGTGGTGTTTACAAAATTGAAAAAGTGTTTTTTATCCACATGCAAATGTTTTTTTAAGGTTTTTTCCATAAAACCTAAGTGTAATTTAGCATACCACAGTGCTCTGAAGGTCAGTCATTGATGATGTGCCATTTGTACATAATAATACATGTGTAAATCACTAAATGTTATTAAGTAAAAGTATGTTTTTATCTTTTTTTAAAAATAAAGTGACTCCCTTTCTCATTCTGTTCTGTTGTACTGTGTCCAAAAGTTGTGTGTAATTTTTTAAGGTCCATGAAATGTAAAGAAATTTGTTGAAATACCTGAATTTCTGTAAAAAATAAAAATAAGATTTTGTTATTTTAAAGATTCCTTGGTTGCATGACACACATTCTGTGCATTCAGTGTCTGTCGTTGCCCAGTGATCCAGGGACAGGTGATGATTTTTTTTTTTTTACTGAATCTGTCATTTATTTCTTTATTTTTCTTTTTCAATTACAGTTGATATACAATATTATATTAGTTTCAGGTGTACAACCCCATGATTAGGCATTTATATAATTTACAAAGTGATCACCCACAGGTGATGATTTGACTAAAATAACTATCTTCAAAAAATCTTGCTGTCAGATTCCATAATATGTGCTACCAGCAGATATTTATTAGATATAGAGGACCCTTAGAAGGCATGATTAACATCTCCAAACCTCTTCTAGCCAAATATAGACAGACATACCTCAAGTTAAATCTTCATATACTCGTTGGAATAAAATTGATAAGTAAAAAGCCAGACTGTTCAAGTAAAGCTTGACCTGAAATATTGAATTAATTGCTCTATCTTTACTTTGCAAATTGAAAGCAACCACCTGTTACTCAGACATGAGCAACCCTTTGGCCATAGTTCATACACGTATGTGTTGTCTGGGTGGGTGCCAGATCCTTCAATTACTGTATCACACTGAACAACTCTAAATCTCAGTGCCCTCAGCTATCAAGTGGACATAAATAATAATAACTGGCCCCATAGTGGTGTTTGAGGATATAAATGATAGTGGTGGTGTTGTGCTTGACAAATAGGAGATATTCAATGACTGTTAATTCCTTCCCCTCCTACTATATTCAAGTCACTGAAGGAAGAAAGAAAGAAAAAACATAAAACACAGCCTCTGCTCTCAAAATGCTGAAGATAATTAGAGTAGCATTTATGACCAGGGATTAAATATTTAAATGCCTATAGGGCCAGGTAGGTAAATAACAAAGCAAAGCAGGCTAGATTGGGGACATAATAGGAAGTAGAGGACACTGGAGAACCTCGGTCTTGTCTAAAGAGAATAAGTAGTCAATGTTCAGTTCTAGTCACTCAACAAATAAATGCTGAGTCCCTACTGTGTGCCAGGTACTGTTCTAAACCCTGAGAAGATAGTGGTATACCAGACAAACAAGTTCCCTTGAACTTAAAGAAGGTCTTAGGTTCTCATAGGAAAAGAGACAATGAACAGGAAAATGTCAGCTAATACGTAATAGGTACCTTAAAGAGAATTAAAATGTGGTCATAATGGAAAAATGGGAAGGCTAATCAAGGAAGGCTGCTATGAAAAGAGGGGAAGAACATGCCACACAGAGCCACCAGTATAAAGGCTCTATAAGGTCACTACGCTTGAGGAGCAGCAAGGCACAGAGGCAGGTGATGTGAGCTGAGCCAAGAACCAGCTCTGGACTTTGGAGGCAAGGATGGTTGGTACACTTTTTAAGTGTGAGGAAAAAAAGCCATTTGAGGGCCTTAAGAGGAGAGCGATGCAAGTTATTTTACATTTTAAAAAGGTTACACCTGGCTGGGCGTGGCTCAGCTGTTGAGCGTTGACCTAGGATCCAGGCGATTGGGGTTCGATTCCCAGTCAGGGCACATGCCTGGGGTTGGGGGCTTGATCCCCAATGTGGGGTGTGCAGGAGGCAGCTGATCAATGACTCTCTCATCATTGATGTTTCTCTCTCTCCCTCTCCTTTCCTCTCTCTGAAATCAATAAAGATATATTTTTAAAAAAATAAAAATGAATGAATTAATTAATTAATTAATTAAAAGATTACTCTTGGCTTCTGCTTGTAGTGGTATGAATTAGATATCCTAAAAAGTCTTCCTTATACAATACTACTAGGTCTTGGATAATTACAGCAAGTTTATTTTTTAATACACAGTTTGGCTTGCAAGAAAATTAGAGAAATACGAAAGGAGTAAAAAATAAAAAGAAGAGTAAACTGAAAACTGAGTGTGAAGTGTAAGCAAATGCAAAAATTGGGACTGCCTAAAGGCACACCCATATGGAGTAGGGAAGGGAAGACTAAGCCCTGGGCCATCAGAACTGGATGAGCTAAATTTGAGAACCCCACCCTACACCAGGACACTTGAAGATGGCGACAGCCTTAGACAAGGGTGGCCCAGGAAAACCATTCATGCTAGCAAACAAGAGAAGCCTACCAAGAACTGTCTCTACAGTGCTCTAGAGATGGAGGGGGGAAAGAAAGGAAAAGAGAAATAGTCACCCCTGAAATTTTTAACCCATGGGTCTGACCCCCTCAAGTCTGGAATTCAATCTTACATGCACTATATGGTCAAAGAAATTACAAACCAGGAAATTAAAGAGCTTGCTAGAGCCCTGTAGTTGGCAGTACAAACACACATCTTGTCTGGAGGGTAGATCTCACTAATTAAGGTCAATAAAGTACAAGCCTCTGCTCTTTCTGAACATCTTACAAGCAGAGACACTGACTACCTCTACTCCAGGCTCTGTTTTCAAGACTCTTTGGTTAGCAAGCAGCCTGGGAAAATGGAGACAAGCTCTCCCTCCAGAGCAAAGAGTAGGTTTGTTCATTGTTCCGTAATAAAGATAATGCATCCCTCTAGGGCAGAGATCGGGCTGGCTCATTGCTCATTATAAAAGATTCAGGGTCCTAAGCTCACGGTTCCTCTCCTGCAATGCAGCCCAGTGCCACGCAGGTGTCACACAGCCCTCTTCTCATCACTCCCAGGGAAGGGGAACCAGCCCCAGGTGCTGCTTGCTGGACTGACCCGGGAGTCTTGTGTTCTGCCGGCATCCATAGACTGGCAGCCTAGCTTCTTAGTTTGGAAATAAGATAAAACCTCAAACTCTTCACAGTTCTTCATTGTTATCTACTTGGGGGAAAAAAGTTAAATATTTAACTCACATTGTACACAAAAACCTACTCCAAATGAATTAAGGACTTAACTGTGAAAGGCAGAATTTTAACTTTTAGAAAAAAATATAATCTCAGAAAAGGAAAGGACTTATTGAGCAAAACAATATCATAAAGGAAGTAATTGATATATTCAACTAGATTCAAATAAGAGATTTCTGTTCATCAAAATATTCTATAAAAAAAAACAAAAGCCACGAATTAGGAGAAGGCATATGCTAAATACATTACTGGTGAAGGATACAATAAAAAGTACATACTGAACTTTCAAACATCAATTTCTTAAGAGCCAAAAAAAGAAAAGATATGAGCAAAAGATATGTACAGGAATTTGACAGAAAAGGAAACACAAAAAGGTACTCAACTTCATTAGTAATCAAAAAATGTCAATTAATTGCACAGTGATAATATTACCCTTTATACTGGTATGAATAAAAGTCTAAAAATATTAAGCACTGGTATGGTTGTGCAGTAATGGGGTTTCTTATTACTTTTGGTAAGAAGAAAATCTGGTATAATCATTTTGAAAAACAATTTGGCATTATTTTGTAAAACTGAACATTTGCATACACTAAATTCACCAATTCTATTCTGAAGTATGTATGCGGAAGAAACTCTTGCACAGAAGGACCAATACACATGTACAAAAATGGAAAACACAAATTACTTATTAACAAAGAATAGATAAATAAATTATGGACTACGCACAATTTATTTTTAGCTAATTTAATACTACTATAAGCATGGAAATGAACAAACCTAGCTTACAAACACCAACATAAATGATTATGTTATATTAGATATATAATGTCGAGTGGGGAGGAAAACGAACAAGTTGTAGCGGATTCACTCTGGCTCCATTTTTGTAAATCTCAAAAGCGAGCAAAACTAAACTATATAATGTTTAGTGATAAATACCTATAGAGTAATACTATAAAGATAGACGCAAAGGACATGACTTTGGGTGGCGAACATACAATACAATACACAGATGTGCTGCCACCTCACAGCCCTCCACTGATGTATTATAGAATTGTACACCTGAAACATATATAATCTTATTAACCAATGTAACCCCAATAAATTTAATTTTTAAAAAGATAGAAACAAAGTAATTAAAAAACTTATCTCAAGATTGTGGCCACTTCTAGGGAGTGGGGAGGGATTGTAATCGAGGAAAAGTATACAGGCAACTTCAATAGTTCCAGATCTTTGTTGAGTGGAGGGTTCAGAGGTTGATTTGTTTCATGTTTCCCAAGTTATATCTATCAAATATTGTCCAATGAAATAAGGTAAAGTTAATTCACTATTTAAAAAGAAAATTGGCAATTATGAGGAAAGGGGATGGTAGGGTCAAGAGTAGAAGTGGGGAGATTGGGGAAGGCTCCTGCAGTAGTCAAGGTGACAGGAGGTGGTAGCTTAAACTAGATTAGTCAGAGTGGAGATGGAAAGAGGTGGGTAAATTCGGGAGGGTGTTGACCTGGCTGGTGTGGCTCGGTTGGTTGGACTATCGTCCCATACACCAAAATGCAGCTGGTTCGATTCCTGGTCAGGGCACATACCCAGGTTGGGGGTTTGACAGGTGCATGCTCCGATGTCTCTCTCTCTCTCTCTCTCTCTCTCTCAATTCCTTCCTCTCTCTCAAATCAATTTTTAAAAAATTTGGGAGAGTGTTGCAGATTGGGTTCCCTGGGAAGCTGACACTGAAAAAGATCAGAATGAAGATCTTTATTATACAGGGCTCTAGGGATCAACACCTGTGAAAGGGAAGTAGGGGGGGAAAGAAGGAAGCAGATGGGCAGAAGGAAAAGTGGGCTGTGATGCAGTCTCAATGATGACCTCGGCTGACTCCAGGGCACACAGTAGCTGGGATAAATTTTCAGAGTTGTACTATGTTACGTGAGGGGGTCAGGCCTCAAGCATCGGTCGCTGTATGTGGGGTGTGACCTTGAGCGTGGTGGCTCTTTTCAGCTGAGGGCAATTTCCAAAGACAAAGGAGGGCTGTGAGGTGGCAGCACATCCAGCAGCTGGGGAATAA